AATTATTAAATGTATACAGATTTGAATTAAAATATATTTTTATTATATTATTACATATAAATGTAACATATATATTACCTTTTTTCATAATACAAATCATTTTTAACTGAATTGATTTCAATTTTCAAAACTCTGATCGCATTTGCTTTTTGTGAATTATTTTCAATTATTTGACTCATTGTTTCAATTACTAGTTTATATTCTTGTTAAACATTTGCATTTGAGAATGTGCTGATACATTTTTATTAAATGACTCAACATGTTTAAATAATATTGTTATCATTATAGATTAATTGCGACCGATATAATAGAAAAATGTAATTAAGAATATTACAAGACTGAAAGCATTATATTATTGCAACAGAAAATACATATAAAGGAATACTATCAACACTTTTGGTGATTATAATCTGTAGTAATCTTGTATCTAACGTTTTATTAATTTTGTTAAATTTCTCTAATACTGAGGATGTATACACTGAGGATGATCTAATAATAAGATCGAAATGTATGTTTTAAGAATTTAAAATACATAAAAATCTAGCTTGTAGTCTCCTCCTCCTTCTTGTTATTTATTGTTTATGTCACCTTTATCTTTAACTATGAGAGATCAAAAATATATTTTACAAAATTAATGGAAATTATACATTCGTATTTTTTAGCAGAATTTTTTTTTAATATACATAAAGATGAGTAAGTAAATAAAATAAAGAAATGTAAGAGAAAGTGCTAATTGAAAAAGATTTAAATTGCATTTTGACATAAGAAGAGAGAAAAAGATAGAATATCGGGGTGCAACAATAAAATCATAGCTTACCGTACCGAAGAGTAGAATAGGATTAAACAGAAACTTTGTTGTAGTTGTTTGATAATTCTTACTGTTGTTGATATTGTGCTTGTTGTTGATGTTGTCGTTTATCATTGTGGTGTTTTCATTTCTTGTGTTTTCATTTCTAGGTGGTATTTTGTATCATTTCTTTATTGCCACCGCAGAATTTGCGAATCACAGTGTTTAAAGCTGTATGTTCAGCCTGTTTCACGTGTGTTACACTTTTTCTTTGTTAATTGACCACCAGAAATTTGAAAATCACTGCCTGGGACCAACTTCAGAAAAAGGATACCACCGAAAAGTACAGACAGACACATAACAAACGATTGCAGTCGTAACACACACAGAGGATGAGGTATGATCGTGTCTTGGCAAACATTCCTTTTTAAAAATTTATCGGTATTCGTTAAAGAAACCGATAGTTTGTTTCAAAATTAACTTACGCAATACATTTAAGGTTCATCAGGTATTTTAATACGATCTATAATTCGTATTAAAATTCAATAATCTCATAATTTTATATGCTATCTAATGTAAAAAAAAAAACAATATAGTATAGATATCAGAACAGTTCTATTTAGAAATTTGACGCGAATTATAGATCGTCTAAAGTGAGCTTTAGTCAACACCGTTGTGACAAATATCTATGACATTGAAACTGTTAAAATCATGATAAAGTGATTTTCTGGTGCGTCGCTTTTTCCGTCTTATGGACTTTAAAGAGACGCTCAAAACGTCGGACCAAATACTGAGAAAATTCCTAGCGAGAAAACACATGACGGCAATTTTTACGTACTGTTTACACTTAATATTGTCTTGTACGCTGTGTTGTGATAAGAGAAGGGAATCAGGAAGGATGTCGTCGAAGATTTATGAAGGCTCGCGATGTACCGCCATGGCGATTCTTAATTGGAACGCTTCCCCATTAAATCAGTACTTCATAAATATGCAACAACACTGGACAGTGATGGAGAGTTCTTGTGTAGGAAATACACGTAGCAACAGATAGAGCAAGTTCCTATCACAGGCAGACATAATATACATAAACATCGACTAAAAATACCAGTTTTATAAAAGCGCGGATGTACCTGCACATTTTTTGCAAAACCAATATGGAAAAAACTATAATAATAATAAAATGTTACAGTAGTAATACGATAATTGTATATCACAATTATCATAATTAATATAATCAGTTTATTACAAAATACGTCTATGAAAATAATAATAAAATTAACAATTGAAATTGTTATTACTTTTTTTAAGAAAAAAATATCCGATGAATTCTTTATAAAACTGGCAACACTTGATACGTGATTTGTCAAAATTAAAGACAATTTTGAAATATCAGGACAAGAGGAATTTTTACGTGTCGGACGATAAACGAGAATGGAATTGGAGAAATGTACGGGTTCAGGTATACATTTTCTACGACAAGTAAAAAAGAGAAACGGGGTGAGAAACAACAACGATACGCAATGTCGCAATTGTTTTGCTTTCTACCTTCAGACTCACTCACACACAAATCTCTTCCACCAATCAGCGCGCCTACATGAAGTTCGCTAGACGGGAAAAGAGAAATACATACATTTCACACGTGTTAGATAATGAATGAAAAAAAAGAAGACAAAGTGATGCCACTTTTCCAACAGATCACGCTATAGTGGCGTCTCTCGCGCATTTCATATTCCGCGTGATAAAGACACGTTCTTGCAAAAAAAAAATATTCTCATTTTTCGGTCATAAAATTTCGGTCAGCAAAATGATATTGCTAGGAAATATGTAGAATTTTTGTAAAATTTAAAGTAAGAATTCTAGAATATAGAGAAAAAAGATGCTCGCGAGTATGATATTTTTTAAAGTAAAGTTTTGTGAAGATGAATTATGAGGCAAGTAGTCGACGTAATTTTCAGGCAAAGCACGATAAACAGTTTGTTTCGGCACATTTCTTCGAGAAGCTTCAAGAGATCTTTCCGAAAGGATTTCTCAAAAGCTATGCAAATCCGTGGACATTTCGCTTCACATCGCGACGTCTTTCGCATCGTGCAAACACTCGTCTGTACGTAGTAGATGTTTCCTTAGCATAAAGGATATAGATCGACAAAGAGACATTAGATGGGAACGACTGATTCAATGTAATGATCACTGTCAAAATCATAATCTCTAAACGGTAATAAAAATTCCAATAAAATTATCCAATAAAAATTCATATTTGTCAGCATTAAATATGAATTTAAAAATAAATATTAATTTCTATAATATTTTATTTAAATAAATGGTCGACACTTTCACCGTGTCCAAATGGATGATGAAAAAAAGGAAGTAACGCTGAATTAGTCGCTCGAAATCAGGACGAGATATACATCGACGAGATGGTACAGAACATTTAAACAGTTACAGTGACAGTGTCGACAACTGTTAAACGTTAGTGAATCAGTGAAACACTTACCGACAATGATGGCCAGTACAATGAGTCCGATTACACCCATAATGATCATCATCTGTTAAAAAAAAAATTGCAAAATTATTATTAATATTTCGAATATTACCATAATATTTTTTTTAATGAAATTTGACACTCACCTTTAGATTCTGTAGCCAGAACTTTCTCTTCAATTTTCCTGCTTGTTGTTCAAATTGTGACGCTCCTTGTTGAAGTGCATCTGTAAAAGCCAATTACGGAGGTGACATCCGATTTATCTCAGATATGTCTACGTATAACTTCGAGAAAAAAGAATTCTCAAAATAAGAACTATTTTCTAATATTAATAATTGATAGGGGCAACGCGTATAGAGAAAAAAAAAATATATATACATATATATATATTTTTTTATATATACTAAATTTTAATAAATATTTATTTGAGCAACATTAACTATATTTATTAAATGTAAACGTATTTATTTGATTGATACAGGAACCATTAATTTAATCAAACTGTCATTTTTTTATTAAGTAAATATTTATTTACTGTAAATAAAAATTTACAGTAAAAATACTGTTAAAAAAAATACGATTAAGATTTAGTAAATTTTTTTCAGTGTAACTTCATTCGAGAAGGAAAAGAACGCAAAAATATTTAGTGAGAGTATAAAATAATGTAATTTATTAGTGCGAAAATAAGTATATATTTACACAAACAATAAAAGTACGTCCGTATTGCATAAAAGATCGGCGTTTATCAGCCACATAACGTGGCATCGATTCGAGCGTGTCACAGTAATCGATATCAACGTGTAGTCAGACGCGCAGGGTCGGACTACTTTATTGCCACGATACCATGAATGGAAGGTGTAATTTTCCCACGATCGTATTTTCTGTTTAGCGCTTCTATTCAGTATAGCGACACATTGATCGTGAATAATAATATAATATTGCGTCGTGATATACATACAATACAATTCGTGACCTAAATCCGTGTTATAATTATATCTTTTTAAAAATTTAGACGATATTCTTTTATGCGGAGATACAGCAACATATATTTTCGCTCTTCCAAGGCATTAATTAATTTCTTGACGTTCAACAAATGATATTTACCATGAATAAGTAAGTACCTTACGTAGAAGCAGAACAATCAAGTGACGTATATAATAATTAACGACTACAGCCGTGTTACTGAGCGCGCGCGCGCGCGCGAGCAAGTACAGTGTGACAATGAAGCAATATGCATAATTATAAAATAAAATATTATACAATTTGACAAAATAGAATCTATTTTAGGGGATTAAATGTTGACTAAGATTAAATGAAAATTTTCAACTTTTGATCAAAACAAGCTTCCCCGTCGATTTTCTTAACGCAAAATTTTCGACTGCATGAAAAGTGGATCTCACCTGCTCGATCGTCGAGCTCGGAGAGTTTTTGATCGCGCTCGAGGACCTTCTCCACATTTGTCTTCATAATGTCGACGACTTCGTCGACTTGCGCTTGCGTCGCCTGCAGCCGCTTCTGCGAGGCAATTTGCTGGGGCGTTCTGGGGCCACCGACGATGCCGTCGGTGCCGGCGCCTGCACCTGCAGCTGCATCCGGTGCTAAACCACCCTCCGTAGCCCTGCGAACAAAGACGTGATTTCGAGAAGATGACAACAAGCGTTATTACATCCAATTATATCATCACGATACAATCGGACGTTAAACAAACGCGATCCTTTATGAATATACCACTTCCTGCGGAAATGTTGGTGTAATATCGACAAAATTTAATACCTCAGAAAATAATAAATCAACAAAAAATATAAAATAGAATAATCAAAGAAAAATATCTGACGAAGCAAAAGATTCTGTTTACATCAATCGGAATTTCGATTATCTCAACTAGAATTCTAATAGAACTTATGTTCATTTCTATACTGCAGATTAATCTTCATCTTATTCAACTTACTCTTCTTAGAATTAGAAAAAGATGAAGAGTTAGTTGAACTCAGATTTAAACTACATTGATAGAAACGAGTATTAATCAGAAAATTCTGATTTGTCAATTTTTAACTAGAATTTCAATTAATCTAGTCATTTTTTTTTGATGCAGCGAGTCTCGTGTCAATATGAATTTTTGAAAGTTGAATGTTGACAAATAAGGGCCAATAGAGATGATCTTTAGACCATCGGTATAATACATGTCGAAACTGTATATTTATCAAATACGCGTATTTATCATCGATATCGCTTGTATTTTGCGGTTTGTGCATGGCGTGGGATTTATTTATATATTTCCTCGTACGCGCGTGCGTCTCTCCTCGATAGCTTTAAAAAGTGAAATAAACGCGCGGGTGGGTGTCGCTCATCTCGGAACGCGAATTATATGCCGTCGTTTTGCCTTATGGTGCCGGATGCTGCGTGAGATTTTCCCCATATCGAGCCGCGGGTGGAAAGCACCGCGAAAGGGCAAAGTTCATGACACGATTTCGCTATTTGTACCGTTTAATAGCAAAAACTTTATGCGTATTAACTTGGATCACGCGTTTTCTCTCCAACTTGTTTTTTAAGAAGATTCAACGACGTGATGATACAAGTACATTGTCCCCGGGCGCATTCATGATTAAAACGTATTTGTTGGACAAGCGGATACGGAAAGAGAAAAGGTCATTGATAAGGTCGGCTACTCGTGTGACCCCAGGAGATTGTAATTCAGAAACGCACGTGCACCTACACGCGAATATTTGAAATGAAACGATCGTTAGGAACGACTTTATGAGCGTTTCATTAAGATTTTGGATGAAGCCATACGTTTGCTAAATCTTTATGATATTTTTGATTAATCGAAAATATTTAAGATGTTTTCTTTTTCTTTTTATACTCTCTTTTTTTCTGTCTTTTTATATGTCGAACTAATTTTAAATTTTACTTACGAGAAAAAAAACATTTTGTAACAATATCTTTTACTGTTTAAGACCGTTTTATAAACAAGATTAAATGCACAGATCTCTTTATCTGTTGTATGTGAAAATATCCTGGGTGGAAAATTATGTACATGTATGGATTTGCACGTCGTTACTTGGAATATTTAGGATACTTTTGATTAATTGTTGAAAATATTTAACTGATTAAAGAGATGTTTTTCTTGTATATCTCGCGTTAATTTGAAATATCCTTTATTGTGTAAAACTGTTTTAAATAGGATTAGACACACAGACCTTTTCATCTACTATATATGGAAATGCTGGGTTGGAATTCATGTATATACATATTATGGATATGCATATCGTTTTGTAAATCTCTTTTCTATGGGATTTCCGACAAGCTATTTGACCTTTTGCAAAGAGACAGAGCGAGACCTTTTGCGGTACTGCTGCGAGCAATATCAATTTAATTACTCAACAACTTATGTACCGGGATAATTAAATCTTCCATTCCTGTCCCGACATGCCATTATCCTACATTCTTCATCGTATAAAGTCTTCATTAAATATATTCTTTATATCAGTTAAATAATCGTCGACAAGAACAAAAGCTAATTTGCATCTTTAATACGGTCGGTAAGAATAAGAATTGTCGTATGTCATTGTGAGCTATCAATTAATTGGTTAAATAAAATTAGGAAAAAAATTATACAATCATATCGTACTAAAACTATATTAATTCTTACAGAGAAAGCTTCATGCTTATCAATATGTATAAATATCTTGTTGCGGCGGGTATACGTGACGTAAATCGCAGAGATTACAAGTGTTCGTAGTTACGATTTGGAAAAATGCTGGCTACGCGCGATGGCGGATTGAAAAGCGGTCGGCAATGGGTTGCGGGTTTTATTTTTGGCCTAGCGATCGAACGACCGAGTGGCAACAGCCGATCGATCGACTATTCGAATACCGTTGGTGGGAATAGTTTAACATACAAGAGAGTCGTATGTGTTTCTCCTCCATATCGTTCCCATTGAGATGTCGAACGCGACGTCGGAATATTCGGTCACCGGCGTCCGATATCTGTCGCGAAATTTCGACGCAATTCCAGTAATATATTGTAGCAGGATTAGCAGCATAATTGATAAAATCAGCAATTCATACTGTTATGTTCTCTCATCTATCTCTCTATTTTTAACTTAATTAAAATCAAATAATTATATCGATTATATTTAGTAATTATTCTAAATTGCATTTGAATGTTTGCGATATTTCCATATATTAGTACAATTTGATTGCTCATCGTTGAATATATTTTCGACACGGTTCGAAAATTTCTCCTATTATTGTTGATTATTTCAATATATTTATTTATCGAGATTGATAAGAGTATTTGTTTCTAAAAATATAAAATTTTTTGATTTATTGAAATGATTTATTGAAATGTTTTCTGATGAATATGAAAATTTCTGCTGCTACTGTTTATTTTATAATATAGCTGTTTGACACAGCGCGTATCGAAATATTATTCGATCGCCATAGCTATGAATTGTATGCGCAAATGCCAAGAAATATTCACCCCATGACGTAAAATAGGATATATAATGGGATTAATACGTCGATCGCGGATATTGCTTCATTCTTGTTATTAGATTAGTATAACTCGCGCTGGATATTTATGGGATATTTGTACTGCGTGGAACAGTAAGTTTAACATTTTTTTATACTTTGCTTTTTTTTATTTGTACTTTTTTGTTGAGAAATTTATTCAGAGAGAGTACCATCGAAGACAAGAAATTTATACTTGCAAGAAATTTAAAATAAACAATGAAAATAAGATATATAAAATGTAAAATGCATGAAATTAACATAGCAAATTTTTATCACAAATTACTTATTTTAAAAATTGTCGAATTCATGTGAGATATTAATTCGGTACAAAAATTTTATTATCAGTAGTTTTTCGATAATTCAGGAAGGAAGTAATTCTTTATAGTCTATTAAATCGAAACTTTCAAGGACAAAATTATAGTCGGTATATTGTAGTTCGCCGCCGCTCCGAGGATTCATTCCGTCGTCTCTGATCGAACAATCCGGCGAACGGTTCATTGTTCGCCACCCGGATTGTAACGCATATATAAGTTACGTATGAACGCGCACCTTTCCGTCTAGCAAAGCCGTAGAACATTGCCGTAAATGTGCTCATCATTGATTATCTAAATATAGAAACTGCGAGCCGAGTAGTAACAGTGCACCGCGTTTTGCGCGATTGATCCCGACTATACATATATGTATGTGTTCATATATGATTACAATTAGGCATCCGACGATCACGTCGAGTGCAAAATGCGCAAAGAACGCGCGATAATTAATCGCAATCGCATTGATCGATTACCTTAATCGCGATTGTTCAATGTACAAAAAAATTCGTCGAAATGAAAAGAGGTTTGATAAATCGTGTTTTATCTTCCTCGCAATTCGCATTGCGATTGTAAAGCGATCCGAAATTATCACGTGTCCTTCGAAAAGATCCCTAGTTACTTGCCAACGATGTATAGGTGTCGTAACGATAGCCGACAATTAAATCATTCTGCTTGAGTCACCTCTTCATCGAGATTGTCCAAGATCGCGAAATATTTGAGTAGATAACAGCAATGCTTATAAATACGCGATTGGCTGAATGAGTATATTATGTATAATCGAGCTGGATGGAAACTGGATGCGAAAGGTCATAATGAGAAAAGTTAGAAAGAGAAATAAAAAGCTGTAACAGTCTGCGTTCAAAAGCGAAATTAATTAAGGTAGTTCTATCATGCTATACTATTCGATTACCGTGTTTAGTTTTTTCTATTGCCGCCATTAACAAATAAATAAATAGACAAATAAACGAATCCATCAGAATGTAAAATAATTAATACAAAAGTCAATGACAAATCTGAAACACGAACACTAAGAAAAAAGTATTTGGTATTCATGACTATAATTGCATAATAAAATAATTATGGTTAGCAGCTCCATTTTTATGGTTGCTGTAATGTTAGTAATATAATCATATATGTGATTTTTCAAATATAAAAATATTGTGCTATAAATTATGATAACTTCGAATATTAATATAATAAAAATCAAGATATAAATGTGACAAATGAAATAGACATTTTTTTTTAGTAAATACAATCGCAATTATAGCGAATGTAATTATTTTCTTAAATTCACTATATTTATGGTAACAATAAAAAAATATATTTTAAAAAAATTAAAAATTTATCAAAAATTTGTCAATTTCATTGACAGCAGAAGTGAGTATATTTGCATGGTTAAAACAATGGTTAAATAAATATATAGTTGTCCCAAAAAATGATCATAAATTATAGTTAAATTACGATAATTGCAACCATTTTTTTTCTCTTAGTGAAGTAATATAACCGATAGAGATAGTGAAAAATTCTCACGCGACGTACTTGTTTCGTCAATACTTCTTCCATCATTTATTTCACTCTTTAGATAAAAGATTCGCGTCGGATAGGGTCAGTGGCGTCAGTGCATTATATGGTGTATTTCTCGAGAGGTTCGAAGAGTCGCGGCGATAGGCCGCGTTATGATTAATTTCTCTTGAAAGCAAGTATACGTGTCAGGCATCGCGTAGCTCCGTTGCACTCTATTGGAAATTTTGCCGTGTGCCGCGGACGGACGCGGGTCGTGCGAGGAGGATCGATTGGCGGCGACAAGCCTCGGCAATTGCGTCTTAAAACGCATCTTACTAACGTGCCGCAGCGACAAGAATTCTCGCTCTCTTCATTGAGTTGCCGCGGGCTCCTCACACGATTCTTACGCGCGGTTTTGCGCATTCATACCCGCAAAATTCCATCGATCGCCGCACCTTCTCGCTAAACTGCTTTTCGCGGCTGAATCGCGACCGAGCGCGATAGAGCACGTAATATAGTCATCGTTCTACTCTAATCGCTCATTGATCTAGTTATGCGTCACAGTCTTGTATAGAGGCTCTCCCTTAAAGAGACACAATTACGTTAATGCTTTCGACTCGTTTACGGAATGACCACGGAATTCACTCTCGATGAGCTCCACAATACAATCGCCATTTGTATCATCATATACAGACGCGAAGCGAAAGCTAGAAGTATATCATCATCCTGATTTCGATCTTCACAACGCTCGATGTCCCTGATAATCGCGAGGCTTCGTCAATGAGTATATTTCAGGTAGCGCATCCGGAAATTGCACTCGGTGTATCGTAACGCGAAGTCTAACACGAAGCTAAATGTGCGCCACCTCAATTACTCCGTTTAGCATAATTTCACAACTATGTCGTCTTTAGAAACTATTCGTTCGTTGAAACTGGCTGAAAGAAAGACTTGCTGTTTTCCGTCTAAGATTTTCGACATCGAATGATAGAAACTTCATCCTCGCAATGTCATCGCGGAAAACCTTTGGTTTTCTACTGGGGGGGGGGGTCTCATTCGCAGCATTCCGTATTATTATCACGTGTACTCACATGCTGCTCGTAATCGATCGCCTCGAGCTCTTCTTGTTCCGATAATCCTCGTCGATTTGTCGATCGGCTTGCTCGGCAACACCCCCGGTCGATCGTTTGGCGTTCGGCGCGTAACTTTTCGCGAGCAACTGCCAGCAAGACTAGATGGCTGCCGCGGTATTGATAAAATTTCCAGGAGGCACGCCGCCGTGCGATATCGTCGCGCACGCGTATGATCGAGCGATATATCTCGATGGTTCACCTTCGAACTTTGATTTTCACCTCCGCATTTGTCGTTGCGCGTTTTATTCGTGTTTTTACGCCTCGGCCACTCGTGAAAAGTACCCTCGATCGCGCAATAGATCGATTTCCCGGGTAGGACACCTGGGGATCGGCTAACACGGGGAAAGCGCTTTCGAAAGCACGGCGGTCACACGGAGAGTCGATCTCTCGAGACTGCAGGGTCGACGGACGACACGCCAACCTCGCCGATTGCGCACGTGCACCTGACTTTGGTCGATAAATGGTCGCGACGTTGCCTTACAACCCCCATGCGCGAACACACCCTACACGATCGTCAGGAACGTTTCCGGGAGCATCGGGTGCCACCCGTGTTTTCTCCGCTTCGTTTTACTTCGATAAATAGCCCGAAATTGTTCTATTCGAAACGCACATAAAAAGCAAACTTATCCGTTTAATTGTGCGGTCCTGTTCGTTAACTTTTTGGGAAGATGATGGAACAGTCGCGTTTCAACGAGAGTGAAATAATTGTGGAATTTTCGTTTCTACGACAAAGTAGATTTAAATGCCGAGACTGACTGTTTTGTGCATTTGATAAATCTATCGCAGACAGCAGTATTTAATTTCGCGTTCGCTGCAATAAGGGTTGAACATGATTGGATCGCACCCCGCAAGTTGAAACCTTGTCTCCTTGTATACGTTCCTGTAACGACGCAGTACGAATACGCGCACGAGTATCCGCAAGATGTTTTATTTATGCCATCGTCGCGATATTCGTCGTGAGTCATGTCGGTGTCACAGTGAACGACTGGCGGAGATGCTTTTGCCTTACTGCTCATTATGGCGTTACGCTCGATTATGGCAGCTTGTAGTAGTAAGTAGAGTTTTGCGAGACGAAAGTTTCCACTTTTTTTAGCGAGTGATGGCTACTCGCGTCATTATTGTGACGTTTAGACGTAGCAATTTTCGAGACCGAGTTTAATTGATAAAATGCCTGTCAAAACTGTCCGGAACCGATTCGATTCTCCTAGAAATATCCTGTTAAATACAAAGAGATATGTATTTTTTTTTTATGTTAACCCATTCTTAGATTTAAGGTGAAACAATCAAAATTAATGGAAATAGGAGTTTTTAAAAATATTAGATTTTTGAAAAATTTAAATACACAATTATAAAGTATATAAAAAAACTATAAAAAATTTTGTCTAAAACATTTTTCTTACCGTTTCACTGATGATCGATAAGAATTAAATATGTATTAGCGTTAGCTTTGAGAGGTTGTTTTATCTCTTAAATCTAAGATATTGGATTGATATAAAAAAATATGTATGTCTTAGATTGTGTTTAACAACATATTTTAAGGAGGATCGAATTGATTCCACAATTGCGATAGGTTTCTTATGATTTTCATTTCACACTCTTCAAACATTCCCTAACAAACAATTCAGCATAAGAAATACACAAGTTAAGAGAAAGTTAAAATGATTTTATTTTTAACGTCATGAAAGTCAAAATTATAAATTTTTAGTTATAAAGTTTGATTATTTATTGACAATAAGAATTAAAATAAAGTCATTTTGATTTTTTTGTTGACTTTTATTGTGTGTTCCTTGCGAAATAAAACACAGAAGTCATAATAAAATCATAAAGACATCATCACGATCTTATTTATTCTAGTAAGTTTATTTTTAGTATCAAATGACGTCATGATGGTACATATCTTATGATATCATTATGACTTAATTATGATTCTGTGTTCTGAAAAGTTGAAGTTATTTTTTGTCATTTTTGAGTATCAAAATGACAAATAACGTTTTAGCTTGTTTATTGATTAGATTCATAAAATTCCAAGTCCACTATTAGATCCACTTAATTGATCCATAAAATTCCAAATTAACTTTTTTTTAAATATTGTTATCGAATATTTTAATTCGATAAATTCTGTCAAATATTCTGATACAAATATTAAAATCTCCTTTTGGCTCCCTTCCTTTCAATCAGTCACTTGATTTATCATATCATATCTCTCATAATTTATTATAGGTATAATCTTTACAAAATCTATTGTCTCGTTTTTACTTCTGTCTTTTATGTTATTTTATTGGATTGTCCGGAAAGTTCGTACCGACTAACTTATATAATTTAATAAATGTATACTAAAATTTAAATTTTCTGCATTTCAATTTTCCTTCAACATCGCCACGAATTTTCCGGACAACCCAATATTTTTTTTTACATTATTTTACTATCATCAAATTTTTTTATAGCAACAGTATTGTTAAAATATTTTGTCTGTTGTACATATCTTTTGCATGTATACATGTTAGTCTTAAAATATTAAATTTGTACATACGATAAAGATATTATGTATGTACTAGTATTAACTTTATTTTTTTAAAAAAAGCATGGATGCTTAGAATATAAGTAAATTTTTTAAAATGTAGAATCCAGCCTCCATTCATTTTAATGTTATTAATAAAAATAGATACTGTTTAAAATGCTTTTTTGTTCAGTATCGATTTATATGTATATTTAATGAATCTAGACTGAACAGAATAAACGACTTGTTTTAATAAAAATTTATTTCGCCGCAGAATATTGATTGTACGTTCGCTTTACCGTTCGCTCAATTTAAATTTATCTTTATGAGAAATATTTTTAATATACTACAAAGTTTAAAAAATACATTTGAAACATGCATTATTATTGTATATTTTAAATATTTATAATTACACTTGCTATATTTTCATATATTTTAAATGAGGCAATCTATATTGTTAAATTTATACGAAAATTTAATATATGTGCTTGCTATTTTTATATTTCAAAAATTTAAAATATATATTTGAATTGTATATTTTATATGTACATTCTAAAATTTTTTAAATATGAGAATAGCAAGAATGTGTTAAATATTCGTATGTAAACTTTTTTTAGCTTAACTCCATTAGCTTAACTCTGCTAATTGTTACAAATACTAACAATAAATATGATTTACTTACTCTATTCAGAGATTCATATATTTTTATAATAATTATACATTATTACATTAATTATTGCGACGTAATTTTACCACTGTAGGTTTGCGTTTCTTGCATTTTTTGGATTCAGCATCTTCGCTTTTTCTCGTTTTAACACCCAAATTATATACACAATTTCATTTTAAGTGCAAACATTTTTGATGGATTTCAAGTAACGTAAAGCCTCGATGTCTCGTCGAGTTTGTAGACTACCGTTTTTACCGACAAGATAAATCGCATTGTCGCGTTTAGATGGCGTAAGTAGTCACTATTTTGACAAACCATCAATGACGACAGTCCACGAGATATTGTAATTGATAATAAATATTAAATTATATTATTAACGACATATCAAATTAAGAAAAGCGATTGAGCAAGCACAATAATGAGCCTTTTTGTTACCCCTTTTTTGGTAAATACCTAAACACGTTATAATAATCGTGACATCATGATTATCGCCATTTTCAATTTGTGTCATCCACTGTTGTCGTTGTAAACTGGTAGCCGTCATCGCAAATAATTTGCTAGATATCATCGTGCCTCGCAGATTTAATTAGCTTCGATTGTTCGTGCATTTGACATATTTATAGGTGAGTAAGAAACAAAGCAATGTATTATATTACACGATATTGAGAGCATTGTAGCGAGATCGTTCCCAATGTAATGCTAATGATTAAACTTGTTATTTATTATTTTTTGTGATTGCATTTCCATCGTATTTTCATGTTTGCGTATGCAGGTCCTCTTTGTTTATTAAGAAAACTGAATGATGAGTATTATGTAGATTGATAAACGTATAAATAAAGCTTGTTCAGAAACATATGCGATTTTTGAGGTTATGGGCGTGTACCTGTTATTTATTTTGTTGATTCTGTGGAATTTGTTGCAAGGAGATTCGTATTCTTTATATTACTTTATTTTGTTCAATCTGAGATCCTATGGATGATGGTCGTAAATTGACAAAATATTCGCGTTCGTGTTGGTGAAACAGGAAACAGTTAGTCAGAAGGAGTCCTGTCATTTTTTCAGGACTATGGAGGGTGGTGCAGGAGGAGAAATGGGCGGTCCGCACAACCCCCAGCAAGCGGGTGCAAGCAAGAAACTACAGCAAACTCAGGCCACTGTAGATGAGGTCGTAGGTATAATGAAGGTTAATGTGGAGAAGGTATTGGAGCGAGATCAGAAGCTGTCGGAGCTCGAAAATCGTGCAGATGCCTTACAACAGGGTGCGACGCAATTCGAACAACATGCTGGCAAATTGAAACGAAAGTACTGGTGGAAGAATCTGAAAATGATGCTCATCCTTGGTATCATATGTGTTATAATTTTAATCATCATTATCGGTGAGTATACAACACAGACTTGTGATTCTTCTGACCTCTACATAGTTACATTTGTTTTTTTTTTCTTCATCTCTATGTTAGCTTCGGTTGTGCCAAGTTCATCTTCAGACAACTCTGATAATGCTCCAAAATGATAGCATTGTACCAAAGGAAAGACACGGTGTCGTACCGAACAACCATCTTCTATCTTAGGATAAGTTATATATTTGGTAAAGTACGTACAAGGGGAATCACCAAGGCTGAAGATGAAGCGCGAATGTGAATTATTATGTTTGCAATATCATCCGCACAAAAATTGGGAACAAAGAGAACATATTTTTGAGACTTATTGTACTGGATTCCACATTATTAGACTAACAACCAGTATTAATACAAGTGGCCTTCCTTTTTTTAAACATAATAATAAAATAAACACTGGGATATTCTTATGATGTTAATCTTGTTACAGCAATGCTTATTATATTATATGAATTATACATAATATATATAATGTTTGTACTCTTTTCGAGTTTTCTTATATCTCGAATCTCCTCCAGCCTCCTGCTGTCCATTCCATCACATGTAATTGAAAGTAGACCGAGCGAAATTG